AATGCATTTTTAAGAAATGGGTTATAATGCATTTCATAAGTAAAAGACCTAAAAAAATAATAATCTTGACTTATATCAGAAGATGCATGTTTTTGACCTGGCTTCCCTGTATAATATCATCGTTGCCACTGTTCCTTGTGATGTTCATCTTTAAGCAGATGATTTAATTCCATATACCACTGACCTATTTTATACATCTAATACAAGTTTGTTAAACTAATTGTATGCTATTCTTAAGCTTACCAAAAGTCATATCCAAATTTGTCAGGGCTCTGAAAGTAACTTTATTTGTTCTCCTTTCTCCCTGCACCCACTGAGGTTCAGTTACATTATGACCAACAGATATGTCAACAACTCCAAACACAGACACACCCAGTGGTTATCGTAATCTATAGACATGTAAGCTAAGGATTCCAAATGTTACCGGAGCTGACATGGTATTCAGTCTGTTTACAGTATGATGGATACATAACGCTTGAGTAATACAGGAAAAATACAGTGTTTAAGTTTGCAGTACATGTAGCCTGAACTTAGGTCTGTGGACTCATTGAACCTCTGGTTTCAGTTCAGAATCGTGGTTGGAGACTACTGTACCCCAAACCAACACACACATTTGTTAAAACACAATCATAAGTCACTCTGCTGTACTGTATTCCAACAGGACTCAATAAACCCACAACAGTAGATCTACCGTCTGCGGAGCAGGCTTTGCTGACCCAACAAGTAGTGTGTAAGAGAAGAGGGAGGTCAGTGTGAGTTGAAACCATGGCGACAGGACAGGGTGCAGAGCAGGCCTTCTCTTCAACCATCGGCTTTGATCATACTCACGTCTTACTCTTATTGCACCCTGGTACTCCAGCTCAGGTGTGCCACGCTGCCTGGAACATTGTTTAAACTGTGCTGCTAATATATTTTAAGACTTTCATTTAAAGACTTAGAAGATGTTTTCTCTGTTAGTCTCTTAAAAACATACAAGAGGTGCTAAAGAAAGTGACTTTTCCTTTAATAAACAATCTAAGGGACACTTTTAAAGACACCTCATTAACCTGTGTTAACCTGTGTTAACCCTGAGCCTGTTTTTCAGGTCTCACGCTCTAAAATTACATTCCCAGAACAAATGTCCATATCTTCCCTTGTAAAAGGGTTAAATTAATCATCTTTGTTCTCAAAGTAATGATAAACCTGTGAGTTGGATGTAGAAAAGTCAGAATCAATATAGATGTTTTTTATTTTTAAAGAAAATTCAGATTGAACATAGTAAAAAAACTGTAAATTATAGTGTCCGTCCAAAAATTATTTTTTACTTATAGTGAAAACTACCCTTGGATGATGGGTTAGTAGACTAAAAGCTTTAGGAATCCAAAGTACAACATATAATAAGTACCCTGTATCAAGATTGATGCAAAACAANAATTGTACCATTTTATTTGTTCTGTTCATGGTAAGCACAACTTAATGTATCCTTTTCAGGTATGGTGTGTTTATTGGGACATATTTTGTAAATAATTGTTATACATTAAGTTGTGCTTACCATGAACAGAACAAATAAAATGGTACAATTGTCTGGTATACACAGCATTTGAGCCTTTTTGCTCATTAAAGAAAGCAATGACACAAATATGCAGAGAGACAAAAACAGAAAAACACATTTGAAATGAATGGTGACCTTTACATTCTTCTGTCTTTGCTGTCATCTATTCAGCTGGTAGCTTTATGCTCATCCCTCAACATACTGGTGCGTGTGCATGCATTTCATTAAGCTGCATTTCTGAAAGCAGCATGACAAACAGGCATAAATTGGACATTGTAATTTCATCAGGGCGTATAGAATGTGTACCGACGTCATCATTTATTATTGAGGTGTGTGTTTGAGAGGACATTACATTGTGAGATACGTGTGAGACCACTTATCCAGACATAACATTCCTATTATCGTGTGCTCTAACACCTAAATGAGGGACGCAATGCTCCATGGGTAATCAAAACACAGACACAGCCGAGCACTGTGCTACATGCAATGTGTCATATCCAAACAGATGGGGCCCGTACAATGCCGAAAGCGCTGGCAGCGTGACATTTGGTTGAACGCCGAATGTGAGAGAGTGGCTGCACGCAGAACCGCAAGTCTGATTGCTGTAATTGTATGTATGGAAGTGTCTTTGCTATCTTTAACACGCAACACGAGGCCGTGGCTTCTGTGACACGCTGACAATAGCAGTCATCAAGTCAAAAAAAAATACAAATAAATCAGTTTTGTTGTTTTAAACCCACAATAACTGTATTTAGGTCACTCTGGGGCAGCAGACAACATTTGACCAGTTACAGAGCAACATTGGCATACGTTCGGAGTGTTTGAGTCCAGCATTGACTCTCTTTCAGCTCTGTTTTTGGTTTCTACCAATCTGTGAACGTTTCTGGATGTGTAGCTTCTTCAATGCTCCACTATGTTAACTAGCTAGTTGCTAACTGTCTGTTTTCTGACGCTAAGAACAAATGAAAAGTGGTGAATCAAAACAAAGCAGCAAGCCACAAAGTTGAATAATACATAGCAATTATTTGTAGGTTGGAGCAAACCTTTTCACGCGTCATGTAGATATTTTTAGTTAAGTGAAAATATTGATAATAGGCACTTGAAGGCACGATTGGAACAACTGAAAACCGTTATATAATCTACATCAAAGAAGGTCAAATTCACATTACAAAAATACTGAACCACAATTCTCACCGGAGATTTGGCTTCTGAGGTTGATGAATCTTTATTTTGGGATTAACACCTTCTGGACATGACCTCCAGTGTCTCAGTGGAGGTGGTAACCCTCTCTTTGCTCTGGATTTAGAAGTGCTGAACGATGGCACATTAGCTCTGCCTGCTTCCTCTGCAGAGGTCAATGCCACATCCGAATAACATATTTTTGAACGAGGCAGGTTTGCCAAGGTCTCTGCAATCGAAAAGCCTCTCAACTAGCATCAACCAGTATTTAGCCGTGGCCCTCCAATACTTTTGGCAACACTCCCAGAAGGAGTGCATGAGGTAGAGATCCGTCTACAACCAAAACAAGAATCCAGCTGCTTGGACTTTAAGCCTCGAAAAACACTTGCTTATGACCAAATCAGAAGTTCATGATGAGAACACAATAGGCTATATAAGAAGTGGACAAAGTCACCTATTACACTATTGTTTTGAAGCCTCCTGTAGGAAATGTATCCCTGTTCACAAAACGCAATCGAACAAAGGCATTTCTTAAGGCAAAATGTTGCAGTTAAATTAACCTACGCAACACAGGAAGCTCCGCCCTAAAGAATATGCTGCTTTTTCGCTATTTAAGTCGAGCTGATGGACAAATTAACATCATGCTGTTATTAACAATGTAGACTATAAAGTTGTCAGGATAATCCTAACTGATGTTATAAATCATGTGAGAAGTAGGGTGATTTTCTCATAGACTTCTATACAACCAGAGCACGCGTGCTATTCAACCTAATAGAAAAAATGCAGTGGCTTTTGAAGATGTATCACCAAAACGTAATATGTGCACGAGCAACTGCACAATGAGAGGGATTCAATGGAAAGTGTTCCTGATATACAGAAAATGGCTTCAGGACAAAGATAAGCTGGTCATAAGATGCAGGTGCGGCTAGACCAAATCCTTAATCGAGAGGTTCAAAATCAAATGAGAAATAAATTCAAATGAATAATACACAAACTGTATACATCCGTCACAGACGCTACACGCAAGACATACTTGGCTATTCCTATTTCTCCGACACTGAAGAACATCTTTTCAAGCTACCATTAGGGTTCAAACTAATTAGGCTAAATAAAAATATAATGCTTGGATGTGTTTTACAAACATGCAGTAGATAAAGCGGAATATGCGGATAGAATAACAAAATAACTATTTCTATATTTAATAACAAGGGTGCATTTTATTCTTCTTCCCTGAGACATAACAGCACTCAGTTTGTGCTCGGACGCAAAGTTCTGTG